TAGGAGAAGCCATCACATATCTTTTCAGGAGTGAAAGAGCATGACCTTAGCTCAATACTTCTGCACAGATTTGTTCCAGTTTAATTGACCAGGTGGGAACAGGGTACATTTTGTTTGCAAGAGATTATACTCCTAATTAGCTCTCCTGCCAAGTCTCTTATCATTCTGCAAACAATGTATGTAAGGGGAAATGGACCTGGGAAAAAAGAGACTGAATGTATAAGGAAGACTGTAGATTCCTCTGCTGATGACACAGATAAGTAGAACTTGCCATTCCCCAGCTTAGAAATTAAACTAAAGAAACGAGATGGCAGTTCTAGGATAGCAAGGAACCATAGTAGAGGACTGTGTGCTGGCCAGACTGTTAACCCCAGCTACTAAGAAAGCTCCAGCAGCGCCAAGGGAAAAGGGAGGTAAGCCACACACGGGGAAAGATAAAGACAAAAGGATCCAGACAATCTTTAAAGGTTTTCTCTTCAGCCAGTGGTCTTCGCCAAACGAAGTAATGCATTTAAATATGTCATCCTCCTGCTACAAAGCCCTGCCAGAGGCCAGAGGCCACATTCACAGCCCCGTCTACGTGCCTTGGTTTTACCATGTCATGTTACCTTCCTCTAGCCAGCTTTTGATTTCTTCTGCATTTGTGCATTCCTACTATCAGGTGGAGTTTAATCCTTTTTCACTTCTTTCTCTTTCTCCAAATTCTCTTTCTCCTTCCATTCCGTTGTGATTTCTGTATCCACCTCTTCCTGTAAAGCTGTGTTTGCTTCAATACTATGCACATGTTTCTGTACACTCCCATTCCCTCTGCACTTACTCCTTTCCCCAGCTCTTCCTTTCTGCAATCCTTCCCTCCTCCTTGGTCACTGCCTGCACTCCCTACCTCTCTCCCAGCTTCTGCTCCTGCCTCTGACGGCCCTCGGGGAAGGACGCTGTGGTCGGCAAAAGCGGGGGTGGGGAGTTGCCCGCCTCTGTCCTTGATCGCTGTCATCAGCCTTCGGGAGACAAGCGCTGGGGGGAGCTGGGCGCATCCCGTGCAGGCTCGCACGTCCTCTGCAGGCTGAGAGCCTCGCTGCGTTACAGCTCTGAGATTGCAGCGCAGTAGAAGTGAGGCTGCAGGCTAGGGTGTTTGGGAGACAGAGCTGGTGCTACGCATGGAAGCCTCCGAAACATCAGGATTCAGGGGACTGATATGATGAGCAGCTTTTTTTTACACAGCTGGAGCATTCCCTACATGTTTAGCCACTCTGCAGTGGCCCTTCAGCCCCGCATGCTGCTCGTGGTGCCTCCTTTGCCTTCTTCCTGCAGTACACCATGGAGTTCCTCTCAGTTCTCCTCTCTTGGGACCCACCAGTATCCAGCACACACACACACACTCCCTATTCACACACAGATGTATGCATCTTAGCCTTGCAATTTGTAAGCAGTTACAGTTCTGAGGAACCAAATACTCCACTGCAAGTCAGCCTGACATGCATACTCCTTGTGAAACTGAATTTCTTAAGCAACAGAGAGAAAAGAAAATGGAGGAAAGAAAAACAAACAAAAAAACAAAACAAAAACAAAAAAACAAAAACAAACAAAAAACAAACAAACAAACAAACAAAAACAAAAAAAAAAAAAAAAAAAAAAAAAACAACACAAAACAACCAAACAAGAAAACATATAGATTAAGATTTTTCAGGGGGTAGAGCAAGAGCAGGCATCTCCTGTGGAGACATCCCCATCACCTTCCACTCAGAAATACAGTAGTATTAGGTGGCAGAAATAAAAGAAATGCCAAAACCAAAGAAGGCTTAGCTGAGACTGAGTATGGGAATGTAGATGGCAGTGTCAGGGGCTGTGCCTTTGAGCCAAGTGTCCCCAGGTACTGCTGGGTTGTGTTTGTACAGCCAGCAGGAATCAGACACAGAACAGACCTTATCAGATCATCAAACTTCAAGGGATCACAGAACAATATGTGAAGCGTTTCAAAATATGTAAGAAATTTCACATTGTATCCATAAGACTTGTACGCAAATACCCCATTTTGGTAGCACTGTAGAACCTGTGGCCTTGACTCCAGGCTAAGATGCCAGAATGCTGAGCACTTCAGCAGAAACACGTTCTCAGCACCTTAAACACAACACACAACACAAAGAACCAGGAAGAAGATATGATTACTACAGGTCCAAAAAAGACAATAGTTAGGGGGACTGCAATACAAAAAGGTCTAGAGAAAATCGGTGAATTCCAGAACTCTTGCGGCTATTTTTCTTAGCATTGCTGGGAGCTGTCTCCCCCCAGAGGAGATGTGCAACCTTTGTCTCTCCAACACTCACCCTTCTTACTTTTAAAAGAAAAAGAAGAATCTGCTCTTTTTCCTCATTGGCAGGATAACTCTATGATTAGAGCAATACTCCAGAACCAGAGAACCATTTTCATCTTTTCCACTAACAGAACTTTTTTTTCTTCATTCCTCAACATAGTCTTAATGAATCCAGATCTTGCTGTTGAAGGACAAACCTCTCACCATACTGCTATCATCTTCATAAGGTCTTCAGCTCTTCTTTAGGTCTCATAACTCCCTGTTTTAGTCCCGATAATAAACTTATTCTCCATCTAACATAATAAGTTCAATCATGGATGTGGTAAAAAATGGGAGAAGCCAAGATCACCTGCTTTCTGTATCCTTGCCAGGTAAGGTAGGGGTCATGTTACCTCATGCCTTGTGGCCCAATGTATCTTCTTTGCAGGGGAATGTACCCCACTGCCTAACCTGGAATTTGCTGTCACTAAATTGTTAGGGCCTCCACCATTCCAGTTGTCTCCAGTGGTAAAAGGACTTCCTAGGAAACTCTTCTAAAATAACACATGCTGCATTTGATGTGGTGTCTGAAAGCAATGACAGAAATTTGCCTCCAGTGTATGACAGCCACTGAGTGGGTTTTTTCCAGGAGCAAGTTTTTTAGGTATAATTACCTTAACACTGTCTATATCTATATATCACTGTCTATTTAGGCACCTAAGACTGTACAGAAATCTGACTGCAACATAACAAGCACTGCACTACTCGTTTCTATTAGAATAGGCAGCTGAACAAAGAAGAGTGAACTGCAACACTGAAGTGGGCCTGAGAACTTCTTCCTCAAGGGAGGAAGGTGTGTGAACAGGTGGTGGTGAAATACAGCCGCTTAGTCCTACTGTTCAATTTCACCCAGAGTTCTGTCACTACAGCTCCCACATCATTCTTTTTCTCCAACTTCAACTCTCACCTGTCTTTCTAGGTCTTGTATTGTACCACAGACAGCAAGTGAGACAATAATGGAAAGGATTAAGAAAGATTGACAGTAAAGAACATGGGAAAGAAAATATGTGTCTTTCAGAAAATGAGAAGGCTAGGAAAGATATAGCAAGAGAAAAACAATATGCAAGTTAAGACTATATATGAGAGAAGTATATCTGTGAAGGAAAGAACAAGAATCACACAAACGAAGGAGAAAGAGAAACAAAGATGCACAGCTGATATAGAAATATTTATTTTTCTAGAAGGCTACATTCTTTTGACTTTCAGAAAGCAACTAAGTAAAAGTTGCGTAACAGTGTAAGGGAAGGATGCTCTTGCTGTGGTTTTGAACAAAATGAAGCAATTAGTGCAGCATAGAGAAATAGGGACAGAACACTGGCAGAACTCACTATTCACAGGAGGGCTTTCTCTTCAGTTGTTAAACTGTTACTTCAGTGACTCACTAACTTGGAGGTTTTCAAAGCTCCTCTTGGTCAAGAAATATCTCCCAGTCATACCTAGCATTAGGTGCAGTTTCTGCAGCTCTTTGTAAAGTCATAAAGAATGAAGGCACCACAACCATTCATATAACCTATGTCAAATGTTCAGCTTTCCCTGGGAATTTGGGACCCCAAGCCTAATCACCCTTAAGAGGTCCGAAGATAACATCAGATAACACATTCTTCAGCCTTTCAGAAGAATCACTGGATCAGAGAAGGTAGGACAATATGCTAGTTACATGAGATCCTAAATCCTGAATTGACCTAAAAGTGCAGTGAAGCTCAGAATTACATAAGCAACAGATTGATCTGCAACTGATTCCTAGTCAAGTATTAATGCAAGATTTCTGGGAACACATTAAACTGTGGGGTGAAATGTAGTAGTAAAATACATGTGTGACCACTATTGCAGTGTTCATTCAGCAGATTCAAGCCTCTCTGATTCCCATCATATTTTGTGCAAGTGTAGATATAAGAACAAGAATTACTTTGCCATGGCAGCTACTCCCCTAATTGTTCCAGAGTTTACCCCACAGAGCTCAGAATAATGCAGAAACTAACAAATTAAACAACTGCTGACATGTCTTTCAGAGCGTGGAGCCAGCCAGGCATGATTATAATACAACTAATTAGCGCTCTGAAAGGGTCCAGTTCAAAACACGATGACACTGTAGAAAACACTGCATATAAGCAGTAAGAGTTAGCCATTTCTTGAAGATTAATCTCAAGACCTACACAGATAAGAAAAAAGAATTAATATTAATTCTGCTTTACTGATACGGTAACCAGGTGAGGAGCGATTACATGGTTTAGCCCAAGAGAAAATCTACAATACAGTTAAGCCAGGCAGAAAAATAGGGAGACCTAAAGTGGTGCTTCACTAGCTAGTCACTTCATGATCTGTCCCTGGATTAAAACCATGACACCAACAGCTGTTATCTTTGTTAAACAGAGCTGCTACAAACGTTGTATTTTCAATGTGTTTCACATTCACCCTAGATTCCATGCTCCTTTACTTGATGCCTCTGGCATAAAAGAATAATGTGCTGGGAAGCAGAAAAGTACAGTTATGGATCATAAACCCTTACTTGCCTGCTGGAAATGTACAAAGCTGATACTATCTGTGATTCTGTGATTTTTATCAGTAGAATACATGTCAATTTCTGTCCACCTAGCCTAGATTACTTGTAAGGCTATTTCTTGTGTTCTACTGCAAGTTTCCACAATTGCTTAGCTGTTTTTACATCCGTATATTTTGATATCCATTATACAGGGAGGCACAATCAAAATAGGAGCAAGTGCGTACTTACACAGGAGTTAGCGCCATGTTAAGCAGTGGGAGAAGGGCATATAGGGTAAATGTAGATTTTATCAGTGGAGGAGGATCTTACAGTTGCCATGACCTCAATCTGGCCCCTCTCCAGCTGGAAAGATGCTGCAACACCTGACAGTAATCAATGGCATTCATGTACAGTGATCCCCTCATAATAAATTTTCCAATAAATTTAACTTGATTTCGAAGAGAATGGAAGAATGTATGTCACCAGTCCCATGATACCAAAGTCCTCTTAGGCTTCAGGTTTCAGCAGATCTGCCTGGATCTTCATCTTCCAATACCATAATCTCACATGCCTTCACTGAGAAAAACAAGAAGGTAGAAGGCAGTATAGAAGAGTTAGCTGTGCTATCTGCTGGACTTTGAAACCCTCTGCTTCCATTAGACCTTCTCCCACTCTGAAAAAGAGAGAAACTAATCTCCTCATTCCTGCCCACAAGAGAGCTGCCCAGACACAAGCACTCACCAAACACAGGTGCTTGTGTTTCCCTGGCCAGGTGAATTGGAATATGGCTGATACTGGAGAGAGCAAATCAGATTTCCAGCACTGCTGGGTCCAGTCTGAGACCAGACCTTCAGGACCTCTTCTTCTCTTTCGTTTCTTCCTCACTTTCTTTCCTCTCACCTATGCTTTCTCCTTCTCCCACTCTGATCTCTCTAAGAGCCTGAAGCTGATGTGATGCCATGAGGATGTCAAGTTACACCAACAGAGGCAGCATGGAGCACAGTCTTGAGAGCAAACATCCAGGGCAGACGCAGGCTCTGCAAGCCTTGCAAGGTTCACTAGTTTGCTGTTTCCCAGCTGCCACTTCCATACTTCCACAAAGGTTTTAGACCATGGGTGTCCAACTTTTTGGCTTGCCTGGGCCACACTGGGTGAAGAGAAATTGTCTTGTACCACATATACATAGGTTGCTCCAAAAGTAACGTCTCCTATTTCTTTCCATGGAAACTACAATAGATACAATGTCACTCTGCTTGATAGAGCAAATTCTCAGCAACAAAACAATGTTTTTCAGCATACTTATCACCATCAGCATTTTCACCAGAGACAAACAAGAGCCTACATGTAATGTTTGCAGTGAAGGCGACTCACTGTCCCTGTCACCATTGCTGAAACACACCACTGCGCTCATATCCACTGTTCGGTCTCAATCAGCCTTGATGATTGTCAGTGGGTGCCTTTTTTTCCACACAGAGGAATTAATTGACACACTTTTGCTTCATATACACTTCCACATCAGACGCCGTTCTGTCAGACTTCCCCTCTGCTGCCATCTGTTGCACACCAACAAAATGAAACACAACATTGGTGGGAAAGTTCAGCCTCTACTGCCATACCACCAACATCCACCTATGATGTCATAGGCCAAAATAATAAAATAGGAGGCATTACTTTCAGAGCAGCCCTCGTAAATTATATACTATAGAGAGAGAAACAAAAACATGAAGCTTGGGGGGTACTTGACCTTGTTTTTGTTAAACTAATGCATTTGTCTGGCTTGATGGCACTGACTGTAATTCTTTGTGAGTTATCAGTGTGCTCATCAGAGATTTTAATTAAGTTTTACTCTTCCTGTTCTTCATCCTTGATAGCAGTTGCTCACAAATGTGCATACTGCCAAAAGCGATGACATGAATAAGGCATGACTGTGAAGTGAAGGATACCTTTCTTTGTTAAGAGAAGTCATATAAAAGTCTAATGAAGCAACATGATCAGATTTTTTGGTTGAATATTTGATTGCAACTCCATACATTCCACCTGAAAGTTTGCAGGTGATGTATTTATGTGGACTGAAAATGGAGTCACAAACATAAACAGATGAAATTTTTTTGCAATCTTGAAGACTATTCTAAAATTCCTGTATTAAAACGGAAACATGTACTTTTTCCTGTTCACAGTGCTGTGTTTAGCCAGCATATCAAAATGCAGAACATTATTTGCAGGAACTTGAGCCAGCCCTGAACTGTGCTCTCCCCCTGCCAATCACATACCGATGTTTGATTGTTGAGGAGTGACGGGTGTGGACCTGGCCACGAAACAGGGAGGAGCTGCCCTTATGAGCCATGCAGGGCCGCGGGTTACACATGTGTGGTAGAAGGTCCAGTACAGGCTCTGTGAGGGCAAGCTGGCTCCTGAAGGGTGAGTATGCTGTAGAGTGGGTTGCATTCACTGGTGCCTTTGGATTTGCCACAAGGCAGAGTGAAATCTCCTCCACCTCTCCGGCTGTCCTATTTCTAGGAAGACCTGGAAGTACCACAGATCACTTCTTCCCCTTTAAAGCTTGCCAGCTGTCTTACATTCATAGCTGAAGCAATCAGGTATCTTCACTTACTCCACTTGGGTCAGGGACTCTGCTTTTAGGTATACAGCAGTTATGAACACTTCATAGTTACCCTGGCTTTCGAATTTTGTAAAAGGCTGACAATTTTCTTTCTTTCAGACAAACAGTGTTGTTGATATCTGCCACAGTGCTAAAGCATACTAAGTTCTCCTAAGAATGCTTCCTCAAACTTCATCATGGGCCAGATGATGACAGATGGTGTTTGTGAAATTTTATAATATGTCTTTATTGGAGTGTAGTTCCAAAATGGGCCATATTTGAGAGATGTAAATAAATTCCTCTTGTGGAGAGTCATGTTGCTTTAGATCTGTTACAGAAATCTACTCTTAGCCTGTTTCACAATAAATAGCTACTTTGATGGTAACACGATCTGCCTCTGATATGTTTCAAAATCCCATGTGTTTTTACAGGCTAAAAATGGTTTGGGGAGCTGAAAATTTAATAGTGAATAAGATCATTTTTATTTTCTATTAAAAAATGGATTTGGGAATAGCACATAGCAGAGTAATTATCCCACTGAAACAGATACCAGTTTACTTTTCCTCATAAATAACTATGTTTAGATTCAATGACAACATGAGCAATAGTCGTCAGTAGGACCTTAGAACAAAGGAACCTTCTTGGCATGTTAATATCTCTCCCAACAAAGTCAGCCTTGATTTGTCATTGCTAAGTGTTTTACTCAGAATATCACATTAACAACTGTAAATAGAAATTATCACAAAAGTAGCAATTTATGTTCCCAAGAGAGAGGTCGGAGTGCCCTTGCCATATGACCCTTGGGTCAGTCATGCCATACCTGGAAACAGACTTCAGGTTTTCTATTTTTGTGGTCCTGCTATCCTCCATTCCCCATCTCCACAACTGGAATTCCTTCTTCTTTCCTCCTCTACCTTAGCATCCTCTACAACCTAAACTGAAAGAAAAGTAAAATGATGGAAATGTGCAATTGGAACCACCAGCATCCCCTTCTCCCCTCATGATCATGCATCACCCCATGCCCTGTAACAGGTCACATCTTCAAGCGTGTGCAACAGTCTCTACCCAGCACTGCCTAGCTCCTGCAGTTGTCCCTTTGTGAATTACACATCTTCCTTGCATTTGCAAGTTTCCTTCCACATCATCTTTTCTCCATCCTCATCTTCCTTTCCAGCATCATTTTTGTTCAACAACTCCCTCCTTCTCTGTTTACCTGGTTTAATCTATACTGAGATTAAGGTGTGATATTAGCTACACAGGATAGCCCAATCGTTTTACCAGTCTAAAATGGGCACAGTAGGCTAGTTTTAAGTCATGTTAAATGGATCAAGTTCAACTGTAAGAGACACCTTAAATCCTAACGTAAGCAAGAAAATTAAGTTTCTTTGCATTTCTCTTAGTTTCTATCAATTTCTGACTCATCCTTTCCAAGAGTCTCTCCTCAGTTTTGTCCTGGTCTTTGTCATTTGGAATCCTTCTTTTTTTTCTCTTTCTGCCCCAAAGAGGCTCTTTTGCAAAACTTTTCCATCGCCCTAAAGAGTACACAAGTCCTATTTTTTTTCCTCTTCAGAATCTGCTACCACAACATGATTTTTAGCCACTCTCAGGCAAATCATATGGCTTTTTTTATTTTGACATTTTCCTTCTGCATGTATTTAAGTTACTATTTGATCACTTCTCATTCTAAGTTTATCACTCCTTCCCAAAAGACTTTAAAAGAAAAAATAAGGAAAAAAAAAAAAAAGAATCAACAAAAGACTTGCTTTGCAACTTAGATATGGGATAAGGTGAGGCCAGGTTCTGGGAAGAGTGCTGCTAATCATACAGGAAACAAAAGAGAGAGATTAGAAAATAAAATTGGAGTGAAAACATGAAGGTAAAAGTTCACAGATAGGGCTGAGGCCTGATTCCACCTCCTCAGTGTCTTCTAAACAAGTGCAGGTGGCAGCATGAAGCAGCAGGCACTAAGCAGAGCAGCCCACCCCAGCACTCCATTCTACCAGCTGTTGCCCCCAGGGACCTGGTGAGGGCAAAGCAGGGGTTGCAGATCATGCTCATCCCACTCCCTCTTGCACTGGGACGGCAAGTCTTCAATGGCCACTGAAGTTTTGCTGTCTGCTGAAACACAGCTTACATAAGGCTAGGGATGGCTGAATTACAAGGGGAATAAATCACGTTGCCTTTTGGTTTGTGTTACTAGTCACATTTTGATGTCAACTCACCAAATCTACTAAATGTACAGCTCTTCTACGTCTTAAAATGCATATTAATATAACACAACATGCTCATCTCCTTATGGCACTTTGCACTTTCCTGCAGTGGCCTGGATTTTCTCTTTCACTGATGTTTAAAAGGGGCAGAAGCTAAAACAAAATGATGAATGGAAACCCTTGAGGACTTCATTTACAGAATACTACCTACGCATATGTTCATGTCTTGTGGCTAATGTTAAATAGTGTGAATAGTGTTATTTGGTTTGCTTCATCCCTTTGTGCTTAAAGAAGTACTGATGCAATATCTTGGTTTAACATGCGTGAATTGCTGTTTGGCCCGCTCCCCTGCTGTGCATATCTCTGTAAAATTTCTTACAGCTTTCTGTTGATGGTGCAATACAAAAGGCACTATTATATGGCTACATCAAAGCCTCTGCTGATTTTTTGTTTGTTTGTTTTCCCAGGGGATCCACAATGTATGACATAAGTCAATTGCAGACGTATCAGAGTTTCCTTCCTGTGATTTTATGAGAATTAGAACCAAGTGCCACCTTTCCTAAGGTTTCTATGTCTAGATCTTTTTCTCAACTTCAAATTTAGCTTACCCTGCTTTTTAGCTACATATTCTCAACAGCTCTTCAGGCATAATCTCATTAAGCATTTCAGTCCACATGCATTCCTCAGACCTCCAGCCTGTGGCAGAAGCAGTCAGAACTGTCCCACTGTTCCCCCTTTGGAATCGGAGGCTCTCCTGCAACCCTGGGAACTCCCAACCGCTGCTCTCCTCGAAAACAGCTTCAGCTCCGCTGCTGCCTGCTGAGAGCCTGACTGACTGCAGCCACCTGCAGCACCAGCTGGAAGAAGAAGGCAATCCTGCACGTGGAAAGTTCTGTCTGGGGACAAAGCCCTCCACAGCATGAGGAAGGGGAGGGGAAGGATAGTGAGAAAAGCCCAAGGAAGAGGCAGGGGCCTGTAAGTGCAGTGGGCGCACTCCAAGCACCCCGCTTGCCTTTCTCAGCCTTCTCAAGAACTGCGGCACCCTAGCATTCCTGGAAGTGCTGCCAGGACTTGGGGCTGGTCATCCTTGGCTCTGGATCATCTCCAGTTGCCAGGTCAGGAGCCCCTCTTCCACGAGCTCGCTTCTGTCAGTCCCAAACAGGAGAGGACGATTCTGGAGGAATGCTGTTTGCAGCTGTCTGCTTCTGAACAGAGCTCCAGAACAGATTGTGAAGGTGATGTACCCTGATAGTGATTTATGACATCAAAATCCAAGGGCTTTTTGCCTCAGGAAATCAGTGGCTCTGCTGCTCATCTCGGTGGGATTGCTAAGCAATGCCTTCAGACTGGGACAAGGAGTTTGCACTTCTGAGAGGAAATGACCTGCTGCTGGACCGGAAGGGCATGACAGGCAGGACTACTGCTGCTCAGCACCAGAGGCTGCAGATGGCATGGATGGTTTATCCCAGTGTTTGACTCACAGCTGGTTGCTTGCCAGGGACAAGTGAATGGCATGGCAGGAAGAGCAAATGGGTTCCCATGGCAACAGTCATCTGAGGTTAAAATGCTGACTGAGGCTGCCAGAGAAGATGAAGTTTGATGAGAGGCTAAACCTCCCAGCAGTGATGGAGTGACTCAGTCCCTCGCCTCTGGGTTCCTGAGAAGCTCTGCAAAGGCACTAGCTATACAGAATTACCCAGGGGCTCTCCCAAAGCCTGATAATCAGTCTGTCTTGAATGCCTGTCCTGAATCCACTCCAGCTATTTCTGTTTCTGGGTCACCAAGAATACATCTGCATAGCCAGCAGAGGTTGACTGCAGTGTGGGTACCATAACCACACTAGTCTTAATCACCAACAGGGTAGCACCACATAGGCTGCAGAGCACACTGTACTGCAGATTTTCAGAGAAGGTTCTGCTTGCCAATTACCACTTCTTCACTGTCCTCACTTAAAAAGCCAACTGAGTAAAAAGCTATGTCTACCATGTCCAGTGACAACAAAATAATGTTTTTATCTTTCTTCCTCCCTACCCCCCACGTGGTTTTTCTTTTTGTTTGTTTGTTTGTTTGTTTTTTAAAGGAGTGCAGGCTTTGCAGTCCTCCTGTATATCTATCCAGGAAAACAGTTGGATTTCAATGTGTTCCTGCCATGTTAAAATAGATTTCTGTTGCCATCTGGTGGATAACTGAAGAGAGCCTGGAAAACTAGAATAAATACCTAGATTCACTCCTTCACTAGCCCTGCTATTATTTGAAAGGTGCTTCTTCACCTGTATTTATTCCACAGTCCCTAATTCTTGCCATCATCACAATTTTTTCACAGCTGAGAGGAGTATGTTAGTGTTGTTGGTGTGGAATACGTGTTGTTGTTGCTTGAGCATCAACAGGGCTGAGTACAGGAGGATGATCACTTCCCTGCTCCTACTGGCAAAACACTAATTCTGATAGAAGCCAGGATGCCACTGGCCATCTTGGCCACCTAGGCACACTGCTAGCCGAGTGTCAATCAATACCTCCAGATCTGTTTCCTCTACACAGTCGTCTTCCAGCCACTCTGCCCCAAGCCTGTAGCATTGCCTGGGGCTGTTATGGCCAAAATGCAGGACTAGTACTTGGTCTTGTTGAACCTCATCCCACTGGACTCAGCCCAGCGATCCAGTCTGTCCAGCAGACAGGCATTTTAATGGCATTTGACTGTAGTCTTCCTTCAGTATTTGCTCCCAGCTATATTTAGCTCCTTGCTCAAGCCCTGTCACTGCACTTCTCTTCCATGCCAGCCTTTCTGCAGAATTGCTCCAGTCTAGACAGTTCTAGACTGTTTCAATACCCAGCCTTAAAACCATCTTGCCTGAACAGTAACAAGCTGACTTACCACTCAGGCACAGGTGACCTAGTGTATCTCTTACTCGAGTGTTCCTGGAGGCAGGATGACACATGACATCTTGTCACTCCCAATAATTCAGCCCAGGAAATCTCAGGAGAAGCAAGCCACATTCTAGCTCCATTTGGATGCTGGTGCTCCAGCATCAGCTTCTGCCCCATGTGAAATGGTCTGTGAAAGTGCAGTGATCATCTCACAGCTGAACCCTTCCTTGACATAGAAATATAATCAAGACTACTTATTCAAAGAGGAACCTTATGAGGTTCAACAAATGCAAGTGTAAAACCCTGAGCCTGGGAAAAAATAGCCACATGCATCAGTAAACATTATGGGCCAACCCACTGGAAAGAAGTCCTGCAGAGAAGGGCACAGATGTCCCAGTGGACAACAGGTTAGCCATGAGCCAGCAGGGTGCCTTTGTGGCCAAGAAGCCCAGTTGTACCCCAGGATGCATTAAAACGAGAGTGGCCAGCAGGTCAATGGAGGTGATCCTCCCCTTCTACTCTGCCATGGTAAAACCACATCTGGAATACTGCACCCAGTTCTGTGCTCTCCAGTTCAAAAAAGGCAGGGATCTCCTAGAAAGAGTCCAGCAGAGAGTGCTACAAAGATGATAAATGGTCTAGAGCCATTTCCTCTCATATGAAGAAAGGTAGAGATACCTGAGTCTGTTCATCCTAGAGAAGACTAAGAGGAGATCTGATCAATATTTATAAAGTGCAGGAGATAATTGAATGAGGCCAGACTCTCTTCAGTGGTTTCCAGGAATAGGACAAGAAATGTGGCCAAGAATTTCAACATAGGAAGTTCCATGCAAATATGTGGAAGAACAGTGAAAGTGACAGAGTACCAGAATACTCAGTGAGGTTATAGAGTCTCCTTTGGAAATGAAAAGACACATTTGGTTGCCTACCTATGCAACCTATCAGAGAGAAACCTCTTTAGCAGGGGCATTGGACTTGGTGATCTCTACAACTCCCTTCCAACTCCTGCAATTTTGTGATTATTAAAGATAAAGTACAGGAAGAGTAAAATTTTATCAAAAATCTCTTTTGATGAGCCCCTTGAAAACTCACTGAGAATGAAAACACTACTGTCAAATCAGACCGATGCATTAATTTCACAAAAACAAGGTCAATCATCCCACTAGTTCTATGTTTCTCTTGCTAATTTTTTAATGTTTTAATAAAAAAGTTTTGTCCCTTTCCTAAATGTCATTCAAGACTATTATTATGACTGATATTGTATGTATACGGAGCACTTGTAAGGCTTTTAATCTTTTACTATTAACTCTGGTGCCTTGTTCTCAGGATGCAACAGCATGAACTGCTCATTAGTCTGAGCTATTGCGATCGGCTTTATATCCTGCCCGCATTTTCACACCATCTGCTTTTGAAGTGGTAGACAGACTGTTAATCAGACTTTGTGCACTTCAGTGTCTCTATAGTGCAAAAGCTCTCTGAAAAGGGACTTATGGTAGTTCTCCATTCAGTGTTTCACAGCACATTCTGTCCACACAGGTAGAGAGAGTTTTCATGGCTACCAGTCCTGAGATGTGAAAACGTAACTTTCCTTCCTTGGCACCACTACCTAGCATAGAGACTTTAATACGCAAAATAGGACTTTTCTTTAAGCTACTAATTGATCTTTTAAGTTATTCAATGAAAATAACTGAAACTTAAGAACATAATTCTGTCGATTCAAAACAGGAATAGCAGTATCTCTCAACTATTTTGACTCCGTAGAGCTAACAAGCAAGAAAAAGGGTAAAAATTAATTCAGTCAAGTTGAAAGACAGACAGAACACATCTAGGCAATTTAACTGCTGAGTAAGAAAGTTATCTTTTTATATACAACTTTTCAGAGGAGAATCTTTCTAATTCTTGCTCATGCTAAAAAGCATTTCCACATATAAAAATGATTCAGAAGTAAGCATTCCCATAAATACAATGAGGCTATAGTAACATAACATCTGTAACAGCAGCTCAGCAGGCTTTAGGACCCAAACATCTCCTATTTATTGTCAGTTTGTCTAACTATTGAAATGTTTCACTTGTGAGTACTCCATAATTCTTAATTAAGTAGCAGTAAGTAAACCTTTGGATTCAAGAAATTATAATTATCATGGAAACATTTTCTTATGGAAAACTTTTTAGATGTTTCACACTGAATGAAAAAGAGTATTAACTGAAAATGTATTTGAAACATATTCAGTTCATTCACTGACATCCCTGCAATTTTGCTCTTCCTAAGAAAGTTCCTCCATCTCCAGCAGCCTGCTGTTCTTGTAGTCTTAAGAGCACCTAAGTTGCAGAGGAATCTGTATTTAAGTGTTACTTATTTACAAGAAAGTACTTGCTGACTGCAAGCTCTGACTTTACCCTCCAAGCTTTTCAGCTTGAGCTGAAGCTCCAGAACAAGATACCTTAGCGTAAATTTCCCCCACTAATCTGTCCAGAAGGCCCATTCACGACACATCTAAGCCACAGAAAGCCCAATAAAGCTGATGGGAGACAAAGCATAGAATCACGGAATGGCTTGGGTTGGAAGGAACCTCAAGGACCATCAAGCTCCATCTCCCCTGCCACAGGCAGGGCCACCAACCTCAACATTTAATACAAGTTCGCCCAGGGCCCCATCCAACCTGGCCTTGAACACCTCCAGGGACAGAGCATTCACAACCTCCCTGGGAAGCCTGTTCCAGCGCCTCACCACTCTCACAGTAAAGAACTTTCCCCTCACATCCAACCCAAATCTTCCTTCCTTCAACTTAAAACCATTTCCCCTTGTCCTTCTGTTATCTACCCTTTCAAAAAGTTGCCTCCCCTCCTGTTTATAGGCCCCTTTTAGGTACTGGAAGGCTGCAGTGAGGTCACCCTGCAGCCTTCTTTTCTCCAGATGAACAAGCCCAGCGCCCTCAGCCTGTCCCAGTTAAAACAATTCCCCCCTGTATGTGGGAGATCAGGATTCTGACTTCTCTTTGTTTTGCTTTTTGTCAGGTACCACATTCTGAACATGCAATTATTTCCCAGTATTTGTCTTTTTGTACCTTGATGGTACCTCCCGTATACTGAATGAATGTCCTAACATTTATTTTTATACCCATGAATATTTAACAATAAAGGGAGACTCAACAACAACCAACTTAAAAAAGCAACTACCCTCGAACACCCAAAGGTGGAAAATAACAGCATTGACCTAAGAGAAATATGCAACCACATCTTTCTTTAAAAAAGGGCAGACGACAATCTCCTGCCTATGATCCTTAGGAATGAGCCCTCTCCTGATCTAGTACCTACCTTCAGCCACTATATCTGTCTGAAAGATTGAGGAAAAAGCAGGCAAACCAGATTTAAACCATTGCTGTACAGATACAAGAAGAATAAAACACTCTAGCAAAGATCTAAAAGTAGAGAACTCTACTGTAGAGTTCATGATAATACAAGACCAAGTTCAAGACACTTAGTATCCTTGTAGAGAGAAAGGTCACAGTACAACCTTAGCTTAAAAAGCATAAAAGAACAAGAATGAAAAGAGGTCTTACAAATGCACTTAATTAGGAAGAAAGTTTCAGCTGGAATGTGTATCTTATCAGATGTCAAAGAATCAAACAAGACCAAAACTGATAAGAAACCAGCCTTTGTTAGTTCAGTAGTCCACTGAACAACCTGCTTCAAAGCACATTAAAGTGCAGTTGTAGATTGAAATGACTATTGTCATGATTTGCGATGGCACAGAGCCTTTACAGCTGGATTCAAAGAAAAGAAAGGGCAAACCATCAGAGAACTCAAGGCTGGGGCTTTCCTCCTTTTCAAAAGGACTTTCTGTATCAAAAGCCCAGCCACTAGCTGAGACTTCTGACAGTTTCAGGGAAGTGTTCACATAGTTATAGATACCCTTTGAAAGCAACAGGTCCATGCTTTTGTGTGTGGCAAGAGACAGGTAGGCTTCTTTCCATCTGGAAAGCTCAGTTTCCTTTTCCCAGTACTAAAACTAAACTTTAGAGTAGGACCAATTCCTTTTTTTAATATAAACCTGCAAGATTATACTGGCACACTATGTACACTAAAGTATACAAAGCGGAGCCCCATACTGAGAGCCCAAGTGGAATTTCCCTGTGACAAGATTACATTTCACTCACTGAACTAATTTATATCTGCTGAGCAAGTTAAGCTACATATAATGGCTTTATTCCCACCCATATGGTACCTATACAACCAAAATAGGAAGACAGATACCATCGCTCCTTATGTCATCACAACTCCTGTGCTGTATACTATGTTTAAATTAATTATAGAGCATGAGTTTGAGGGCCTGGCAACTCCAAAAGCGCTACTCCACTTCAGCGCAGGCACTGCTACTACAGACATGGAGCTCCTTCTCTGCCATTTTGCCACCACTGTTTTCTACGAAGAGGAGAAGGAGGAGGAGGAGAAAAGAGAAAAGGCGACTTTCTCCCCCACAGCCTCTACGCTGAGCGCAGCCCCAGACGGCGCACGATTCCACCGCAGCCCCGCCGTTGGGCCCGGCCACTACGGTGCGATTAGCAGGGCCGCAGTTCCCAGTGGAACTCTGCGCGCGGAGATGACACATCACTACGCCACACCTCCCCGCCTACTCCCGACTGTCCGCTCAGCTCCACCCGACGACGATCTCCCCTCCCCTCCAGTCCCCTCCGCCCCGCCCAGTCAGCCGCCATCCTTGCCGTGACATGCGCAGGGAGGCGGAGGCAGCGCGGCCCCCCTCTCCACGCACGCACCGCTCATTTTCCGAAGGACGACCGAACCCGCCTCAGGTCGCAGAGCTAACCGGAAGCCATGAGACCCAGACGGGAAGTGACCCCTCTGCGCAATAACAAATAGCCCTGCTGCCGGTGGTGCGCCGTCTGGGTCTCTGTGGGCGGCAGCGCAGGCCTGTATGTGTCATCTGACTGATTAGCTGAAGGCGACCAATAAGACCTCCTTTGCCTTCCTGTCAGGCCTTCTCTCGGGCCATGACCAATTGACAAAGCAAATTTTTCGTCCCTTGATGGATGGATGCAGGGGCCAATCAGAGAGAGGGTTTGCGGGCTAGCTTTGCCCCGCCTCCCTCCGATGAGCTATGGAATGAAGGCACTAGCTGGGGGGGGCGGTAAAGGCGTTGCGCCAGGTGCTCTCAGAAACTGCCTGCCCTCCGCCGCTAGGTCCCGGGCTCAGGGACCTCCCGCGGGCGGTGCGTTCTTGCCCGTGACTGTTGCCCATGGGATGCGACACGGGGCGGGGCCGCACGGCTGTGGCGCGGCGCGCGGTGGTGCCTCTCGCTCTTAAGGTGGCTCCGGTGTGCGATATTCTCGCCATCCCTCCGCGGGAGGCGTCAGGAAAAGTTGCCGATGGGCAGGAGCTTGCGATGGGTAAACGGGCATTCCGGGATGGTCATGGCTTCGTCCAGGCCCAGGTCTAGCTCTGTTACAGCATTCTGCTTGTAGAGCGCTGGGATCGAGGCCTGTGGTGTAGGATGCAAAGTTATATAGCCTGTTGCACATGCTACCACGAAGAGAGAATAGATCTGCTTTGTGGGGAGTGGTAATGGAGCTGGGTGCAGAAGGAGGTATCTCCTAGTTTTAACCACTAGCAGATAAGAGCCTGTTACACAAGGCTTCTTCCTGCTGAGGCATGGAGTTACTGCATGCAGCAAATAGCAGCTGGGCCAAAGCAGTTGCATTTGAAAGATGAAGCCAGTAAATACATCCCCAGGTGCTTGTCCAACTTCACATGGCCCGATCTCCCAGCAGGTCCTGTTGGCATTGGTCAGAAATGCTGTGTTCAAAACCATTTTAGTAATCAAGATCCCAAACTTGTATTTATAAAGTGCTTGATTCTAAACCACTGTCTCTAGGCTCTTAAATATTAAAGACCCATCATTATGTATGGGTACATGTAAAGAAGGTGTACGTCATTTCTGCAAAATGCCATGAAAAAGGTTCAGAGAAGATAGCACTAGCAATAAAAGTACATTTCTATTTATATTTACGTACAAAGATATCAGATCTTTTTTTAAGTAAGGTGTGGTTTTGGAAAAGGAAACAACCCTCGGGGATGTTAGAATGCTATTATGCTAGATTGCATATTATGCATTTGCTAGATTGCTGAAGTGTGTGCTTATTACTGGTTGCAAATGGAAGGAGTGGAAATTTAGCCAGGGTGTGAAAGATCATTCCTTTCCAAATATCATTTCACTGTCCTAACTGCCAAAAACCAAACTCCCCTGCCTCAGGCAGGGACACCAACCAGTAGCCCAGGCTGCCCAGAGCCACATCCATCTTGGCCTCGAACGCATCCAGGGATGGGGCATCCATAACCCCCTTGGGCAACCTGTTCCGGTGTGTCACCATCCTCTCTGTGAAAAACTTCCTCCTAAGATCTACCTTAAACCTCCCCTATCTTAGTTTAAAACCATTCCCCTCTGTCCTATCACTATCCGCCCTCAGATGCAGTCTTTCCCCCTCCTGTTTATATCCCCCTTCAAATATTGAAGACCACAATGAGGTCTCCCTGGAGCCTTCTCTAAGCTAAACAAGCCCAGTTCCCTCAACCTTTATTTACAGAAGAGGTGCTCCAGCACTCTGATCATCTTAATGGTCCTCCTCTAGACCCATTCCAAGAGCTTGAACTGGGGGCCCCAGGCCTGGACACAGTACTGCAGATGGGGCCTCACAAGAGCTGAATAGAGAGGGACCTCCCTCTCCCTGCTGGCCACCCCTTTTTTAATGCAGCCCAGAAGACAGCTGGCCTTCCAGGCTGCAAGTGTACACTGCTGGCTCATGTCCAGCTTCTTGTTTACCAGGACCCCGAAATCCTTTTCTGCAGGGCTGCTCTCAAGGAGATCTTCCCCCAGTTTGTATAAATACCTGGAACGGCCCTGTCCAAAGTGCAGCACCCTACACTTGGCCTTGTTGAACCTCACTAGATTTTCATGGGCCGACTTCTCCAGCCTGTCCAGATTCCTCTAGACAGCTTTCATTCTGTCCAGCATATTGACTGTACCGCTCAGCATGGTGTCATCTGCAAACTTGCTGAGAGTTCACTCGATGCCATTGTGTATGTCATTGATGAAGATGTTGAAGAGCACTGGTCCCAAGACTGACTACTGAGGGACACCACTTGTGACTGGCACAGAACCATTAAGATGTGGTGAGAGACCATGTCAGAGCATTTATGAAAGTCCACATAGATGACATTCATCAGCCTTCCCCTGTCCACCAATGCCATCAGTCCGTCATAGAAGGCCACCAGATTGGTCAGGCAAGATTTGCCCATGGAGAAGTCATGCTGGCTGTCTCGGATCACCTCTTTGTCTTGTATGTATCTGCCTTAACATAGCTTCTAGGAGGACCTGCTCCATGATCTTCCCAGGCACAGAGGTTAGGCACACTGTCCTATAGTTCCATGAGTCTTCCTTTCTCCCTTTCTTAAAAATGGGAGTAATGTTTCCCTTTTTCCAGTCATGGGGGACTTTATTGGACAGCCATGATTTTCCAAATATGATGGAGAGCAACTCAATATATAGTAAGCATGAGCAATTCAGTCAAGTGGCATTTTTTTTTTTCAATCTGTCCTCCTATATTTTTAGTATGGAGAAGCTTTGGGATGGCTCTTTTGGCTTTGAAAACACTAAATATGATAATGGGGTCATGATCCATTAGTTTCTACCTAGTCTTCTGCAAAGCCTTTGACACTGTCTCCTGCAGCATTCTCCTGGAGAAGCTGGCAGCCCATGGCTTGGACAGGCACACTCTTTGCTGGGTAAAGAACTGGCTGGAAGGCCAGACCCAAAGGGTGGTGATGAATGGGGTTAAATCCAGTTGGCAACTGGTGATGAGTTGTGCTCTCCAGCAGTCAGTACTGGGGGAGACAGCCTGTCCTGCTCAATATCTTTATTGATAACCCGGATGAGGGCTCTGAGTGCACCCTCAGTAAGTCTCAGTAAGCAGATGACACCAGGACGTGTTGATCTGCCTGAGGGTAAGAAGGCCTTACAGAGGGACCTGGACAGGCAACATCACTGGACTGAAGCCAATGGGATGAAGTTCAACAAGACCAAGTGTCAGGTCCTGCACTTTGGTCACAACAGCAGACGCTGTTACCTTTTTATTAAGGTGATTTTAGAAAAAGAGAGAAAGCAGCAAACGCTGCAGGCTTGGGGCAGAATGGCTGGAAGACTGTGTAGAAGAAATGGAACTGGGGCTGTTGGTCAATCCTGAGCTAAACATGAGTCAGCAGTGTGCCTAGATAGCTAAGAAGGCCAGTGGCATCCTGGCTGATATTAGAAACAGAGTTGCCAGCAGGAACAGGGAAGTGATCATCCCCGTGTGCTCAGCTTTGGTGAAGCTGCACCTCAAGTGCTGTGCTCAGTTTTAGACCCTTCTCTATACTGTGGATGTTTGGTCTAGATGAGCTTGGAGGTCTTTTCCTATCTTGGTTATTTTATGATTCTATGTGTTTCTGCAATGCATAGCTGCCTCTCAAAGGCCCTTTTTGTATTTCATGTCATTTTTGTATTTATGTTCTTTCAAGTAGTGGAGTAAGATCATTTGGTGCCTATAAAAAGCAGGGAATATTTTAGATGTGAATTTGGTGAAGAAGACAATAAAAACTTAAAGGGAAAATAAATAGGAAACACAAATGGGATGCCTGGAGTGTATGGAGTCCAGCTACGTTTTTCCAATGCCTCTGCAGTTGGCTACAAATTGAACAATATGCAGATACCTCTCATCAGTGCCTCTCAGCAAAATGGTGCTTCTGTCTTGTCTTTTGAGTCATAAGGAGTCTATGCACAATATGGACACAGATCCTAGCTAGAGAAGGACTGTAGGGCTTTGTATGGAAATAGCAGGGTGTAATGAATACCATCTAGCTCTGAGATGTGTCCCAAGGAATGGATGCCCAACCTTTTGGTTTTTCTGGGCCACACTGAGTGAAGAAGAATTGTCTTGGACTGCACATATGTAGGTTGTTATCCTATTTATTGCCATGGAAACTGTAAAAGATAAAATGAGCACGGTAACTCTGCTTGTTAGAGCAAATTCACAGCTACAAAACAATATTTTTCAACATACTCACCACCATTAGCTATGCATTTGCACCAGTGATGAACAAGAGCCTGGATGCCATGCTCGTCAAAACTTGCACCAGTAGAGGTGACCCACCGTTGCCACTGCTGACATGCGCCACCTACTGCCTCACTGTGCTCACATCCACTGTTTGGTATCCATTAACTTTCAGCATCGATGAATGTCAGTGAGTGCTTTAATTTCTGCATAGAGGAGTTCAGTGACACACTTCTGCTTCATATACACTTCAGTGGCAGATGCCATTCTGTCAGACTTCCCCTCTGCTGCCATCTGTTGCACGGCAACAAAATCTAATGGAATATTGTTGGGTGGTTCAGACACTACTGCCATACTGCCAACATCCACCTCTGACATCATGGGCCAGCATAATAAAATAGGAGGCATTACTTATGGAGCAGCTCTCATAAAATATACACTATAGTTAATGTGTAGAAGTATTAAAACACTTTCAACGTTTAATATTTTTATTAAGGTGATTTTAGAAAAAGAGAGAAAGCAGCAAAAACATAAAGCTAGTGGAATATTTGACCTTGTTTTTGTGAACCTAAAGCATCAGTCTGGTTCAATGGCAGTGGCTGCAATTCTTCATGAGGTCTCAAAGTGCTCATCAGAAAACTTTTACAAAGTTTTACTCTTCCTGTTCTTCATCCTTGACAGCAGTTGCTCACAAATGTGCATACTGCCAAAAGCGATGACATGAATAAAGTATGACTGTGAAGCAAGGGATATTTTTCTCTTACAAAATTTTGGTGAAAAGACACAATCATATTTCTGAGTTGAATATCTGAAGGCAACTCTATACATTCCATTTGAAAAATGTATTTATG